TTTATTTAGGTTAAGAAAATAATTAACTAATTTAATTATCTCTTTATGAGTGTGACCCACCGCTTCAGATCTTTTAGACTTAACTTAGAAGTTGCTGCCGTATGGTAGGTCAATTCTAAAATACATCTTAGAGATCCTATCCCTTTGGAAGTCAACCTTGTTATTATAATTAATGAATACCCTCCGTAGGGAGGATGAAATCAAAGCGTCTCGGGGCCTCATTAATTACTCATAATGTTGTACTAACGGTGGAGACCTATGGGTTATATTGTCATATTACCCGCTCCCACTCATTATTTACGAATGGTGTATTTACTTTATAAAACAACTCTTGCTTTATACTTCTTAGTGAATTTAAACAATTTAAGTCACTAAGATCCAAATAATTTTAAACAACTTTAAAATTATATTAAGTCATTTGTGAATTTTAAAATTTAACATTCAAATTTATAAATTTCACATTTGACTTATTTAAATTTTGCAAAAACCATTTGCTAAATAACTTATTTAAATTTAATCTCATTAAATTTAACAACTTCAAATTTAATCTTATTAAATTTAATAACTTTGAATTTAATCTCATTAAACTCAATAATTTGGCGCATTTAATTAATTTAATTTACTAAAACAATTTTAGAATTAAAAAATATAGGTAGCCACTTTTTATCCTAGATGGCATGTTAGATGCATGACAATACAATTATTATCAAACATAATAGATTAATAAATAACATGCAAGTAAAATGGAAAAACTTGGCCGGGTTCCATGGACCGAAGAATTACAACCCCAAAGTAATAATAAAAATAAAATTACATCAAAAATAGGTCTTCTTGTAATTCTCCATCTTAAAGTATTCTTCATCTTCATGTCTCCTTTCTGGTGCATCAAAAAAAATTGAGTTTGGGCTTTTCTGGGCTGTCAAAAACAGCCATTTCCTACACTTGGGCTTGTTGGAAAAGCCAGCCTGATAACTCTATAAAAATATAGTTAATTGAGCATTTCCGAGGCGTAAATTATTACCTAGAGGGTAATTAGTATTAGCTTTTCTCCTTTATTTTGTCTTGTTAATTGTTTTTAGTTATTTGTGATTCATAAATTCTCTCTCTCGTGATTAGCGTTTAAAAAGAGCTAATTCAGGTGCGCTTTGTGGTTAATCTCAGCTTTAAGAAAACGTGGTCGTTTGGAGCTTTGAGCAGCTTTTCGTTTCTGGAGTATGAAGGAATCCTAGTCAGCATTGCTGTGCATTGCTGCAGCAAGACGAGCTGGGCCAGACGTGTGTTTTGCTGACAGCTGGACCTGAGCTGGTTAATGGGCTGATTTTTTCCGTGAAGGGTGCTGATTGAGACACTCATTAGAGACTTTCTCATGTGCTGCCACGTGAAATTAGGGTACAATAAGTACCTGCAGCTGAGAAGAAAGAAGGTGTCCTTGGTCATATTTTGTAACGTAGAGGCGGCTGAACTTGGAAAAGAAAACCACCTCCATTTCTCTGATCAAGTACCAGCTCCAGTACTGGAAAAAAGAAGAAGGAAACGTCACAGGGTGTTGAACGTAAAGGAAGACCCATTGTGGATGAAGGAAGCATTTAGAAGAAACCTTGGAAAAGGGGGATTCTGATTCTCCTCTCTTCTCCTTAGTTTTTCTTACTCTCATTGCTCTGTTTTACTTTGTTTAAGAATATTTACGTTCCTTTATAAATCCAAACTCGAATCCATATATATATAACTCTATGAGATTATGATTTGTTGGCTGAGATTGTTGAGTTGTTTAATATTGAAATGTTCGTTGATGTTGAATGGATCTGATGATTATTTCTTTGTTTATTCAAGTGAGCTGAATTGGTGCCTTAACTGTGATTGGGAAATCATAAGAGGGGAGTATAGCTTTGATTAAATCTGGGAAGATTTAGTTGAGTGGACGCAGCTTGAATAGTGCAGGTTCTTAGATCTTGTTTTCGATTTTTGATTCACATGATATAGGAATATATTGTGTCTTGCATAACCATAAGATTTAGAGTTTCATTCTCTGATTTTAGAGTCTAGATTTGCAAAGGGATTTGTGGGATTTAGCTTTAAGATAAGTAGACAGAGGATTGAAAAATCCCTAGTTTAGTAAATTTGGTTAACAGGAAGTCTTTGTTGCCGTCCGTTGCTGCAGCATCGCGCAGCATTGTTAGGAGACAGTTTAGCAATTGTGAGCCATGCATAGTGACTTTGGCCAATTTTATTTGCACATTTTGTTATTAATTAGTTTTATCTTTGTTGTTCATTTTCTTACAGTCAGATTATTATTAGTTTTTAACATCTTAAAATCAACTTTAGTTTTCTTCTTAAAACTTGAATAGAATTAACTTAGCAACTTGATTTCAAAAACACTCAATCCCTGTGGGACGATACTTGGTTATTCATCATTTTACTACTTGTTGACTCGTGCACTTGCGAGATTCTAGATTCACAATTTTAGGCAACATAGCCCAATGCATGTAATGCCTCTGCCTCATTATTGAGGCAGAGCACAACATTATGGGCCTGGGCCTTTGCACCATGAGGTGCAAAGCCCATGCACCCGTGACTGCACCTTAAGGTGCAGTCCCTTGCATTAGCTTCAATGCTGCTGCAGATCTGCCATGGTTGACCTTCGGCCATGGCAGCCGCCCTTCACCAGTGACTGTCGCCAGAGACTGTCACCGGCAACCGTACGGTCACCGGAAAATCTTTTTTTTTTTTTTTATAGTTTGGAACTTTTCCAAAAAATAAATAGTTAAAACTCTTCCATGATGATCCTCTTGTGTTAGGAGAATAATAAATTACATATTGATTCCTATTTTACAATTGATCTAATAAAAATAAAATAGCAAAAATTAATTCTATGGAACTGGAAAAATTTACGACCAATCCATTCGCATAAAACATAACCATCACACAATAATTATACATCATATGCAAAAGTGCCTACCCTTAAAACATCTAAGAATTATCATATAATTTAAACGTTAAATTAGCATGAAATAAAGACCACTCTGATACCAATTGTTGGTTTCTCAAATCGGATTTTCAAAAAAAATTGTGCGGAAGCGTGGTATCAATCGAATCACATAAATTAAAATTTAATGCGATAATTATTTCATGTTAATTTAACTACAAATATATTAAAGAAAGGAATGAGGATTTGACCGTCATTCGATTAGGATGAAAATCTTGAACTCCTCCAACACCGTCTTGAGCTCTTAAATTCCAAGAACACCACGGTTCTTTCACAATGTATCTCCGGATTAACATGAACTCGAACGTGTGGGCGTTCTAATGAATTTCTCAACACATGAGATGGATGAATAGGGAAGCCACCTATAGTTATCACTCACTTTTCTCAAAAGTATATGATGGCACTCAAGAAATTTTCTTTGGCTTTTCTTTTGTTCTCCCGTTCTTTCCTTTTCTTTTTTTTCTTTTCTCTGGAAAAAATTTTTTTTTTTTTGTTCCTCTTAGAAAAACCAAAACTCATTCCCGTTTTTGAGTAAATATGCAGCCACACATTTACTTCATTTCCTCATGGTGAGGAAACATGCAACATCACGTTTCCTCCCACTCCCTTTTTTTTTAAATGAGGAAATGTGCTGCACGTTTCCTCTTTTATATATATATATATATATACACATTAACAGGGAGAGTGAAAAGGGAGGAAACGTGGAGAATAAAAGAAAATTCCCTTTTTATAAAAAAATAATTAAATTCATCCAAATTAATTTAAAATAATTTTAAAATAATTTTAATATTAATTAATCAAATTAATTAATATATGTGTATTTAGAATTCTTAATTCTAAATTAATAATTATAACTCAATATGATATATTCAGTTCACATTAATCTTATGGAGCCATTGAGAGGAACTATGGACATTATTATTTTAAGCTCCAATAATTTTGATAATTAATTAACACCTTAATTAATATGTCAAAATTATTAATTCCAAATTACTCCACTATAAGTTTGGAATTGCACTCTCAAAATAATAAAACAATTATGTTCACGAAATTTGTGTTGTTCATTGATATAGTCACTACATACGAATTAATCCTCCATAAACGGTTCATAATTAAAGCTAGGTATTTTCCGTTAACCTCTTTAATTATATCTTTCTCCATAAATACCATTGATCCTCTAATGAATAATATATTTTATGATCCAATCATAAAATTGAGCGCTCTTATTATTCAAGTCATGAATCAACACTTATGGAAACCGTCCATCTACTTCATTATGAAGGAATGGATTTCATCTTGTAAATTAATATTCCCGGCTATTTATTTTACTATGCTCCTAGTATACCAAGACTTTGACACTATTCACATGTGTCATTACTCAATATGTCAAAGAACATAATATCATAAATAGGAGTTTATTAATTACTCAGAATTAAGATTAATACATATATGACCATCATTGATTAATATTGAATACTCTATTTAATAACGGAATTTATTAGAGATTCATAATTAATCGCGTTCCGGTCCTATGTAATCATATTACATAAAATGCTTTCATTCCAATAATCTCATTATTAACAATCTAGGATAAGATTGTTTCATTCAGAATGTAATAAACCGCATTAGTAATTTTAAATTAAAGATCCCAACTTTAATTTATAATTACGGACAAGTTTAGATTATTTTATTTCAAACATTATCCTCTGCATCTAACAATTATATACAATGTTTAAAGTTACATCAAAAAATAATCTAGGGATTTTGATATTTATAAAACATCACATGTATGTAAAATAATATTGAAAAAATTCCTCATTTCATTGATAATCAGCAAAATATTTACATCTTATTTGATTTATGGGCATATATCCTAACAGTATATATATATAGTAGAGCGAATATAATAATAGCCACACAAATATAAAACTTAAGAAAAATAGCAACCACACAAGTTGCACTCCAACTACTCACACTAAGCTCACGACACCTAATTACCAACATAAAATATTAAGCATTATTTCGGGCTTGTGTATTTGGGCTGGTGATGATCTCTAACAATCATCTCCAACACTTTTTTACTCACGTTCACAACTTCTCCAGTATCGTCCTTGGGTGACTTCACCAAAAACCCTAGCTCCTCCTTCTGTATGTATCCGAACGACTCAGTTTTCGAGGCGCTAAGGAGCTGCATGGTGCACAACTTCCTAATGTTGCGCCTATACGCGTTGTACTTTGTGAACACACCCTTACCGCCGTAGGAGAGTTGCTCGTAGGCTTGCGTTTTGGCCCGGCTCGCAAAGACGGCGTTGTGCGTCTTGAGAAAAGCCACCGCGGCTCCTCCAGTGGAAATGACGATGGTTTCAACGCTGCCTGGCCGCAAGGACATGATGGGCCCGTAGGTTTTGGCCATATTTTGGAGGGCGCGGTGCTGGAGGTGGCGGAGGAGGTGGAGACTGTCGATTTTTGGCAATGGGGCGAGACTGGGAGGGCGTTTCTGACGCGCATCGATGCGATAGGAATGTCTTCTCAAGATGTATCCAAGGAGAATAAAAGCAATCGCTGCTATCACAGGAGACATTTTTTCTCGTACTGGCGTTGTAAGGGAAAATAAAGGTAATAAATAGTTTATATATAAATATATATTTGGTTGATCAGTTTATGTGTCCCACCACATTGTTTAAGCACATTTTCTTTTCTTGTTTGAATATAATATGAAAATGGAGAATGACACCTAGCTAGCTTTTCTTATCCTTCTTTTAAGGAAAAAAAAAAATATAAGTATCTCTAGGACATGATCCTAACTAAGTTAGTATCTTAAAGATACCCATCCACATTAAACCGCAACCAGTATTATTGATAAAAAAGAAAATTACAAGAAAAGTTATGAACCAGAAAAGGGTGATAAAAACAATAAGACTGGGGACGCAACCCTAAAGGAAACAATCTGGTAAAAAAAAAAATAAAGGTTTTACTTAGTAAATCTTGAATTTACAATGTAAATCCTTTATTTACCAGTAAAATTCAATCAATGCTCTTTTTATTTAGTAAAACTTAAATTTACGGTTTAAATAATTCATCCAATTCGTCTAGTAAATCGTGTCTTATTCTTCTTTTTTTGAGAAGATCTAGCAAATCACGTTAAATTCTAATTCACTGGGTAAATTCTTTATCAGTGGAATACAATTTCATCAACGCTTGTTTTTCTTATATTCTTAATTAATCCTATAAATTCGTTGTTTACCATGTGTTGGCGGTAAAAATTAAATATAACAAGTTTCAAATCGGTTTACGCGAGTTTTTATGATCAAAATCACGGTTAAAAGCAATTAAAAAGTAAGATCATACAAAAATTATAATGGTTCACCCTTGATTCAAGAGCTACGTCCATTGTGGGGAGGAGAGAGTTCATTATTTTTCATGGAGAAATTTCATACTCTAATTGCTCTAAATGAGACTTAGAGTTCTTTCGACCTATAATCCTTTATGTATATTATTGGCTATCATCCTTGCTGGTTTTCCTATTTAATTCATGGATATTTCCCTCATCTTTCGAGATAGTTTCCCAAAAGATGAAGATTAATCAAGATGATTTCCTTTTTTAATTTTGTATATTTGAATTACAAATAGCAAATCCCGGAGCAAATCTCGCATATCTCTCGACTTGCAGAGACTTCATTTCATTAGCGCTTCCAGAACCATTTTCGCCTACAATTGTTGGTGCGATCGACCTCATTTGTCCTTTGCATCTCCTCAGAACGGTCAAACTCCTATGTATGCCACACCCTTTACTAGCGGTCTGCTTCTAAGAGAGTTGCCATCTGAAGTGGCAGCTAAGACTAAGTTGTCATCGATCACTTAATGCCCTTGTGTATGACGCATGAACTCCATTCAATGCCTGATTTAGGGTTTGAAATTTTGCCCTATAACACCATGTAAGTACGTTTATTTACTCTCGGTAGATCCTTTAGTTACTTTTTCTTATATTTTTATTTGATTAATGAAAAAAATGGAAACTATATTATTTATTAGATTTAAGAAATTTTTATTTTTAAATATGATAAATTCACAATTTTTCTTAACCAGAAACCCTAAACTCTAAATTTTAATTTCACACCCTAACAAAACTCTAGATCTCCTGAAAAAACTATCTATATATATATATATATATATATATATATATATTCGTTGTTGATGCCTCGGCAATCACTGTCGGAGAAGAAGACCACAACTTCTTTTGCACGGCTAGTGACAAGCTGCGAGCAGCCACCACCATCGACCATTGTCAAAGCTGTGGAGGAAGGAGACAGTACTGGAGATGGGAGCGTGGCTCATTTTCACGCGACGATCTCCTCCATGCAGAGTCATAGCTCGCGACGATCCTTTGCCACTCGCAATAATCTTCTCTTTGTCAGGGAATTAGACAACAACGCTGCCAAAAAGAGACAACTAGGCTGCAGAGAGCCCTGGTCGAGGGGGGATCTTCGTCATGATGCCAAGGAGACGATAGAGCTTCCACATTCCTCTTCATTTACCTCTCATCCAAATCAAGGTGATCATCTCGATCGTCATAATGTTACAGGCCTTCGTCGGTCTTTGTTGGCATTAATTGGAGGGAGGGATCCTCTTCATTTACCTCTCATTCAAATTAAGATGATCATCTCGATCATCATAATATTACAGGTCTCCGTCGTTCTCATTAATTGGAGGGAGGGATCCTCTTCATTTACCCCTCATCCAAATCAAGGTGATCATCTCGATCGTCATAATGTTACAGGTCTCTGTCAATCTGTGTTGGCATTAATTGGAGAGAGAGATCCTCTTCATTTACCTCTCATCTAAATCAAGGTGATCATCTCGATCATCGTAATGTTATAGGTCTCTGTCAATCTGTGTTGACATTAATTGGAGGAGGGAGGGAGGGGGCGAGAGAGAGATTAATGATGCTTTAGGGTTTCGTTACAAAGGCAAATCCAGAATTTTATGATGTTGTAAATATTGGTATACAATAAATATGTTATTCACTAATTTCTAGTTAAGTTTATGCTATTAATCCCCTCCTAAAAAATGTTTTTCTCTCTCATTCTCCCTTATTATATATAATGGAGTTTTTGTAGTTCAATTTCATTCACACTGATGATGATCACAATCATAGAGTTACAGTCTTTATTATAATGAATATATTCATATAGAGCTCTTGTAGAAACAAGATTATTGTATTTTCTCCCTCCTCTATTCACAGTTGACCCCAATCTGATATAAACCCCACAAAAAATTCCACAATTAAATAATAATCAAATTAATAATTATTAACGGTGTAAATTCGTCAACTCAAAATTTAACTTCATGAATGGATCAGAAACTAAATGTAGAAAAGTAAATTGACACAAAAATTTATAGTGATTCGGCGTAATATTATTGACTACGTCTGCTTATATATGCATTAATTCTCAAAGGATGTACCGAATCTCTTAGAGCAGAAAGTTGTGCTTAGAAAATAAATGAGCAGTTTTAGACCTTATTTATAGGCTTCTCCCATACGTCTCTTGAGATTTACATTCTCTCTAAAAGTGATAATCCTTATTTGATCTGATCTTCTAGTTGTTATATTGTATTTGAATTTGAATGTGGGATCGGAGTTATCTTCTCCTGATTTCCCAGTTAAGTCATTCTTCAGCTTATCCCTGCTTGGTCGATATCTCGACACCAAATTCTTTTTAACCTTATAGGTATCTCTCGACCTGGTGCTAATGTCAGCTCCGCACTCCTCAACTGGAGTCATGTTTAGTCCACGACCACTTCTTGACTTGTAATTAACCGGTCATGGCTTAACCTCTCGCCACCACTTCTTGACTTGAGGTCGTATTCCTCGACTATGGTATAACAAGAACCATCTAATTAAATTTTTTGTGATAGTACAATTAATATCCAATAATTAATTATAGATCCCTATCTGAATTTAAAATAATTATTTCATACTTGAATAGCTATTCCAGTTAAAAGATAGAAAAGATAACATCGATTTCTTTTTATTTGAGTCCTTTTGGAAGATTACGTCTTATTAATCAGCTAAGTATTTTTTGTCTACATTCAAATGCCTACATATACCCAGACGCACAAAGATCATTATATCAAAAATGTAATGACATTGTTTTTTTTTTTCTTTCTTTTTTTTTTTTTGTGGGTATCGGAAGAATACAATAATAGTTTTACCGTAAGCGGAAAAAAAATGAAATATTATTCTCAAATGAAAATATAGTAGAGAAGTTATTTTTAAAAAATATATATTATCAATTTTACAATATTTTTGACAAATAATATATTTACGAAAAATAATTCATTTACAAAGTAAATTTACACCACAAATTTGCTTCGTAAAAAATATTTACCATAAATATATTTTTACCAAAAAAAATATTTTTGAAAAAAAGTGTTGTTTAGCTCTTTCTTCAAGGGATAAAAGATTAAAAACAATTAGAAAGTGGGCTTAATGAAGTCAATACGTTGACATGCACAGTAAGCAAGTTCTAGGTTCGTGGCATTGTCAAGCTATCCCAGATTCCTCAGTCATGTCCAAGTCATTCCATAAGGAAGTTCCCAACCAAAGCAACGCACCAACTGGGCCAAAACAAGACGAATAATCGTCATCCCTAGATGAATCCTAGAACACCCTCTGCGGCCAGCGCCAAACGAAATTAAAAACCTAATTAAGGGCTCGTTTGTTTATGCATTTAAACTCGTGTTTTTAATTATGCTACAGTATTTTTTATTATGCTACAGTATTTTACTCTTATAAAAAAATTTAAATTAAAAATCATTGATTTAAATACATGAACCAAACGAGCTCTAAGCCAATATGAAAATCTACTCCGGTCTCAACTTCAAACCTTTCAGGGATAAATTCTTTCCACATTCTAGATTTAAAAAAATAAAAAAATCTATGAGCTCACTTCTAGTAATTTTATCCTTGGTCGGAAACTCTTTTTTTCTTTTTTCTTTTTTTTAGAAGGGAAACTCTTTTTTTTTTTCCTAGTACATATATAATGAAGATTTTCCAAAGAAAACAAGGAAGAATGAAAACATGAAAGAATGAAAGGGAGAAGAGAGGGAGAGAGGAAAGAAAGAAAATTATTGCCCCATTCTATTATTAGTTATCACATGTGATGAGTCAAACGACACTTATTACGGTAATAGTTTGTTTGGTATAGTGGAAAAGAGAGGAAAAAAATTAGAGGTAAGATTTTGAGTAGAAAAATGGAATCTTGAGTTGTTAGTATAGAGTAAATGAGGAAAGAAAGAAGATAGAAATCTACAGACCCACCAATTTTAATCCATCCAATTTTGGAAAGAAAATAGAAGAGAAAAAAATTAAACATATGAGGTGTAAAATAACTACTATAATCTTAATCATTTATCATATTTTTTTTTTGTAAAATGCACTGGATTTGATATTTTCTTCTCATTTTTCTCTCTTCTACTAAACAACATGAGAGAGAACCCCTATTCTACTAGTTGACTTCCATCACCTAGGTATTTACTTTTCCTTCCTCTTTTCTATCCATCCCACCAAACATAGCACAAGTGACAACTTATTATTTATAGGACATTTGACGACAGGAGTCATTCGTTTGTATGAAAAACTACGATAATCATAGTTCTCATAACTTAGAAGTTTGATCAAGCTGAGCAAATTGCTGGTGCAAAATTCTTCTCATGACCTTATTAGTTGCCGTTCTTGGAAGAGATTGGAGAGGAACAACACGAGAGACCTGAACAAACAAGTGTACTAAGTTAGCATGACTATGCATGATCAATGACCCAGTAGAGTGTTAACCATGAGGGAATAAAAAAAAAATCAATACCCTGAATAAAGGATTTAGTTTCTTCTGCACGGCTGAGTTGAAAGACATCCTTAATTGTAAGTACGCGGTCGTGTTGTTACCAGGGTCCTTGAATACAACAGCAATCACCAACTGCTCTGGTCCACCAGCAGGAGGCGGTACTCCAATGGCAGCCGTCTCCAGGACACAGTCATCGACTTCATTGCAGATGCGTTCAATTTCGACAGAACTCACCTGCTCAAACAAATGGAACGCAAACAGTTAAAAATAACCATGCCCGACGAGAGTGAGACCTTTTTCTTTGCTATTTTCTTTTTTCCCCTTTAAGACTCGGTACAAGTGTGATGACAGAAGTATTCCTCCCCACATTAAGCGTCACGTAATTCTGACACATCAACTTTACCCTTTACTAAAAAACAAATGCGTCCTTACAGATAAGATATAGAAGCAATTACCTACATGACAAAACCTATACAATCACTGAACTATTTGCAAACGAATAGAAAGAAAAAATATCCAGCATACAAAATAAACTGGCTCGATATCCTAGTGGGTCTTTCAAGAAATAGCCATCCATATGCAAGATATATTACAAAGAAACTCAAATTAAAATGGCGGATGATATCCTAAAGAAATTTTACTCTCCAAGATACAGATTCTTCTTTTCATTGAACACACAGTAAATTTGCACACATTTAAGTTGATCAATGTGCAATTCGTTAAGGAGCGAATGATTAGTGGGAGTTTCACTTTTATAAGCATGCAAGCATAGTCTGAACATGTATTCCCATTACCTATTAAATTTTTAGCACAAAGTGCATACCTTGATACCTCCAAGATTCATTGTATCATCTGCACGTCCATGTGCACGATAGTAACCCCGAGCTGTAAGCTCAAACATGTCTCCGTGCCTTCTTAGAACCTGTACTAGGGAACTCGTGATGAGTCATGAATGATTTGAAGACACCGTCACTATTAAGGTGAGAAAAATATTACCTTCCCATTCCACATTGGCATTCCCTTAAAATAGACATCATAGTGATCAGCATTCAGCAAAGTCGTGGAAGATCCAAATATGGCAGGACCAAGCACTAATTCACCAATCCCGGGTTTGTTTTTTGGCTGTCATTAAAGATAAAGGCTAGTTTGAGTATCTTGGAAAAAGTAGTTGAAGAAATACGTCAGAATGAAGTCAACTGTACCAGTGAAATATGTAATGGTATGCAGCATGATGACACTGGCAAAAGATAATGTTGGTGAACATTAATGATGATGACCTATGCTTTGCGAGAAATTTTGCTAAACACAGTTCATTGAGACAAAAAAAAAAAAAAAAAAAAGGCATAGGATGGTACAAAGAATAAAGGCTGATAAACAGATGATCCTAATCCTGATATGATAATAACATGAAGTTTGTTTCAGTGGAGAAATAAACCTTCAAAAAAAATTTATCACCACAAAGTTAAATCAATAATCGACTGACAAATATTTCAGAATACTCTTCAACAAAATAATTACTTAGCTTTTACTCAGCTGTCAGGCTACTTTAAGAAAGCATATACTCATCCATTAGAACACTGTTGATAGTACAATTAAATATGGTGCATGTCATGCCATGAACTGTGACCAAGCAAGCATTCATGTACTGGACGAATTCAACACTATAACATGCAAACATGCAAGACGTATTTCTTTGCACTTATTTTACACTATAATTTAAGAAGTGATAGATAAGAATTAGTTTCTGTGGATGAGAATCATGAGGTTGAATAGTGCTTACAACAGGACAACCATCACTGCCAAGAATAAACAAACTACAGCCCATAACCGGAGTGCTAAAAGCAGCCAATGACTGAGCCTGCAATAATGAACCAGAAACAAATCCACCACCAATCTCTGTACCACCACAACACTCGATAACAGGCTTGTAGCGAGCTCTCCCCATCAGCCATAGGTATTCATCTACATTTGATGCTTCGCCAGTAGAGCTAAAGCAACTAAAAGACATTGAGGAAATAATATGAAGCTTGGAAGCACTAGGTTTGGCTAAACAAATCCACTAGTTGACATAACACAAGCATCCATATGGGCAAATAAAACTAGTACCACAAGGGAAAATATCATGAATACTTACCGGATGGTGGACCAATTATAGCCGCTAACAGAATTCGTACTTTTCCATGTGCGAACAATACTTGGGATCACACCTAACATTGTTACTTTAGCATCCTGGATATAATGGAAAAGTGCGATTAAGAGAGAGAGATTTTAAAATAAAAAAGCCTAAAATACAGGTATATCAGTATGCATTTGCACGTTAAACTCAAAGCTAAAATTGTTGCTCCGACAATGCAAGTTGTGCTACGTAAAAATAGTTTCGTGGTTATATATTTATATATACACACACACACACACCAAAAATACAATTTAAAACAATTCAATTTGATGCACAAAAGTGGAAAAAGGACATTATCTTATTTAATAATTCTGAACAAATTAATCCATGAGTGTGTGTTTGGAACTTCTCAGAGGGTAAAGGCTGCTAGCTCGTGCCCAGAGGGTAAATGTAATGCCCGGTATTTTTAAGCAACTAGCCTAGTTAAGAAAAATATAATATTTAGTTTAATTTATGATATTTGGAGATTTTGGGATACTTGATTTGAGTTTTTTAGATATTTTTAAGTGTGGTGGTGTAAATTTAAGAAACAAATTATTTTCTTTAAGAATGTGGTGGCTGTTAGAAACCTCACGTTAGTATACTAAGGCTTTAAAGTGCCACATATTAACCAAACAATACTAGCCTTGATGATATATATTTTAAGGATGTCATGTCAAGCTAAAATAGCTAAGTTGACTTGCTATAGAGTTGGCGAGGTGGCACTTTTTTGTGAAGAGTTTATCTAAGGTGGCACTTAATTGTGTGGCTTTGAAGGCAACATCTCCGGCACATGGAAATGTGAGGCATGATGAGGGAAAGAAAAGAACGGAATGAAGGGAAAAGGATGAGAGACAGAGGAAATGAAAATAAATAAATAAATAAGATTCAACAAAAAAATAGATAAATAAATAAATAAGAGAATAGAAAATAGAAAGATAGAATTCTATTTACCATAATAAGCAGTTTGAGATAAGTATACTAATATATTGGATTTATGCTTATCTTTGGATACTTCTAATTGAGTGTTATGTTGGTTTAAGAATAATTTTAATAGCAAATTTATGTGACTTTAATTGGTTTTGCAGATTAGCATTATTTGGAGTTCGTAAGCGAGTGTTGGAGTAATTCTTGGAGCTAAATTGATATTGGCGAGCCGCGGTATTGAAAGATAGCGCCTAGGCTTTAAAATAGTCCAGTTGCAGTACAAAAATCCGAGAAGAAGAGAGCCTAAGCTTTGTGCAGTCGAGCCACGGCGCTATTTTACGCAGTGAAGAATTTCTACGCTCAGCGCCGCGGCGCCCAAAACCAGAGCTGTGGCACTACTTCGAAGCAAGGCGTATATTTGGCATCTTTCAGCTCAGCGCCGCGGCGCTACTTTGAAAATTTTGCCGACTTGAGTTCATTTGAGTTTCAAAAATTTACAAAAATGCCACTACGATTCCAAACACTATATAAATAGGATTTTTAGGGTTATTTTCCAGTATCTTTTGGCTAAGAAAATGTAACGCCCTCCGGAATTAAACTTGTTTAATTATGATAATTGTGGTTTATTAGTGTGCCTAAATTTATTTTTTTAATTAATCATGAGCTTTTAAATTTATTTTTAGCATTTGTAATTTCACCCCTATTTATTTTATTTATTTTTCCTTAATATTTTTCCCAATTTTCTTTTCCTTCTATTTCTCCCTTTCCTTTTTCCTTATTTCTTTTCTCTCTCTTCCTCATGTTACTCTCCCTCTCTCTCTCTGTCTCGACACACTCTCTCTCTCTCTCTCCCCATCAGCCTCTCGAGCTCACTCTCCCTCTCTCTATCTCAAGCTCTCTCTCTCTCTCTCCCTCTCCCGTTCATCTCTCTCTCTCTCAAAGTTTCCTTTCTCAAGTGCCGGATTTAAACCAAAAACGGAGGTTTCCAAGAGGTTTTCAACATCAAAGCTTAGATCGAGGTAAAACTCTTTGAAACTTACTTTAGATTTTCAGATTTAACCTTATGGAACTCGTTTTAGTCGAGTTTGGTGATTTTTGGTTTAGATTTCGTTTTCGAATGGATTTCGAATGCATTTTGATGAAACCTTGATGAAAATTGGGGGTTTTTGATTCTTTGGACCCTAATTGTTGATTTGAAACTGGATCTATACATTTTCCTTGAGAATATGTCGAAATCGAACCTAAAATTTCAGGATTTGACTTTGTTTCGCGCGGATCGGCCATTGCTAGCCCTTGAACTCTTCCCCACCAGTCGACCGGTCACCACTCCACCGGCCGACCAGTGAAGTTACACTCCTCTGTCACCGGTCGACCAGTTCCCACTGAACCCGACCCTAAACAACCCAAAAACGCTGTTTTGACCACGAAATTCGATGTGGGATTGACCTAACCTCATTTGAGAACTCAAAATGAGTGGATTAGCCACATGAATCCTTGTTTTCCATTCAATTCTCCGGAATGAATCTCCATTGACAAATAATCATGATTTGAATTAAGAATTGTTTATGAACATTGATTTTGAACTATGGCACACTAATATGATACAATTGCATCTAATTAAGCAAGAATGTTTAGTGAGAAAGATCAAACTCTAAATTGTTGATTTTGATGGGAAAGTTAGTGGCACGATTAGAATCAGAGCCTCAAAGGCAAGCGGAGCTAGGGCTACGTGAAGATAACCACAGGTTTGACATCCGAGAGGTAAGATATCCTTGTCTATATCCTTGTTAGCCTTACTTTAAATGATTTTGGCCAATGAAAATGTTTTAAAACAAAACATGTTTAAAGAAAATAATTTCAGAGGAATAGCATGAGAATGCTATTAAGTTTTCCAATGATTTTGGAAAACAGATTTTAAAGAGTATCAATTCTTAAAATGAAATATTTTAAAGAATGATACAACGCATGGTGGCCACAGAGATCGGGATGTAGGAATCGCATCCTTGGGGGCAGGTCCCGAAACCCGTACGGATCCACTTCTTGTTTAGTGGACAATGCCTTTGCACTTTTCACTAGACAGACATTTTTACCACTTCTTATATGATGAGCTGCACACTTTCATTATACAGATATTTTCTACTATGTGAGTATTTCTTTTTTTAAAAAGGGATGACCGGTTCCGGGTGTATATTTTCGGACCGTGAGTACTTTTATTTTAAATGCTTTATAAAATTATATCCTACTAGATCTTTCGCTCACCCCTCCAGGCGACGCGAGGAGTAGTGCGGAGTAGATAGCTACTACCGGTGACGTGGACTTGACATCGAAAAGTGAAGAGTTGTCTTTCCTCTTATCTTTTATCTCAAGGCATGTATAAAAGATTATGGATTGTAAACTCAAATACTATTAGATTGTGGTTGATGTCGTATTTACTTTTATTTATATTCATGTATGCTAAACACCTGTGGGAATTCCTGACGTGATACCAGGGACGTGATTTTAAACTGGTTTGATTGAAAATTCTGCCACCCTTCTTAAAATTAAATTTCTCTTGAAAATAGGGGCTTGTGTGGAAATACCTGAATGTTTTGGGATTTGAAAAATTAAAATATTTACAACATTATTTGCTAATCATTCTCTTAAACAGGTTTAAGTTTCTAAATAAACCTCCACATCACTAACCCCGGTTTGGGGGCGTGACAAGACTTGGTATCAGAGCCCTTAGTTTAGAACCTTAGGGTTTGGAATTATGCATACATGAATGACATTAAAAAACCACTACAACAGTCTAGCTTTCTTTTCAGATAAAAGAATGCCGCCGCGCCGTAGAAACCCTAACCCGCTGGCAATGCCGAATGAGCAATTCATGGAAGCCATGTACGCCGCCTTCCAGGGGATGGCTACTAAGCCCAAAATAAACGTCCTGCGGAGGACAGAAAACAGAACTACTTCCGTGAGTACAGACGTAGTTCAATTCTTGCATTCACTAGCGCGGGTGGACCCCAGGAAGGCGAGTATTAGTTCGAATCAGTGTCTAAACATCTAAGTACCATGGGAGTACCGGATGAGTATTGGGTGGAGTTCGCAGCTTTTAAGTTTGAAGGTCCTGCAGGTGCATGGTGGAAGCATATCCGGCGAATGCAAGATGTAGAGGGGATGACT